GTCAGCTATCTCTATTTCTTTAGAAGTGAATCAAATCAGAGTCTCATGGCAGCATGTAGGGAAGGAGGGTGTTCGCCTCATGTGAGTCAGGAAACAGTGTACTTCTATCTTGTAGATTTTATCCTTTTCCCCTTTTAATTTCATCTGGGTCCCAGCTGTGGGATAGTCCTGCCTACATTCAATAAAGGTCTTTTCCCCTTAGTTAAACCTCTCTGAAAATGTTCTGTGAGACACTGAAAGGTGTGTTTTACTAATCTCCAAAGTGTTTCTCAATCCAATCAAGATGAGAGTCAAAATTAAGTACCCCACTGGGAGAACACATTAGGCTGCCACACCACAGAGTCTGTCTGAAGATGTGATACTTTGAGTCAGAATCAAAACTTTATTATGGGTGCAACAGGCAACATGGACTTCGTGTCTAGGTTTCTACTAGGTGGATACTGAACACATTAAGTTTGCATTACTCTTAGGTAGCTCTTTTACAGGGGGGGTCTACAAACAAACCAGACATTTGCTGCAAAGGGACACATCACTATAGCTTCTGCTACAGTATCATTCTTGAAAAGATGGAGATTCCTCAAGACTCCACATAGAGCTCCCCTATGACCCAGCAATCCCACTTTTGGGCATTTACCCAAAAGATCACAAATAAGATCATAGTAAAGCTACCAGCACAATTATGTTTATTGCAGCACTATTTACCATAGCTAAGATATGGAACCAACCCAGATGCCCCTCAGTAGATGAATGGATCAAGAAAATGTGGTAAAAATACACAGTGGAATTCTATGCCTCCATCAGAAAGAATGTCATTGCCCCATTTGTTAGGAAATGGAAAGACTTGGAAAAAAATCACATTAAGTGAAGTAAGCCAGAACCAAAGAAACATAGGTCCCATTGTTTCCCTTATTTGCAATAACTAGTATACGGCTGAGACAAGCAGAAAAGGTCAGATAAGATGGTGTTAGGTGAAATGAACCCCAAGATAAGGACACAGTGGTTTTTTCTTTCTTGCTATTGTTTCTAACATATTTATTAGGTTTTTTGTTGTTGTTGTTGTTGCTTTGTATGTCCCTCCCCCATGGTATAATTTGTGGAGGGGAAGGGAAAAAACAAATTGTTTAAATAGGGATACAGGTGGACTCATTGCAACAATGAGATGTATAACACGTGTCTAAAAAAGAACTTTACAATGTTGGTGGGACGGGGGCAGGGATGGGAAAGGCTGGGAAGGGGAAACAAAGGAGGAGGCAACAATGCTTAATAAGAAATGTACTCATTACCTTGCTCATGTAATTGTAACCCCTCTGTACAGTATTTTCACAATAAAAACATTAAAAAAAAGATAATCTTAGCAAATGTCAGCATCAAGTGTGCCTGAAGTGAACATAATTACTAAATGTAGTTACTAAATATCTAGAATGAAGATACTGCGTTCCTTATTTGTTTGGGGGAGAACTAAATGAGATAATGCATGTAAAAGTGCTAAGTACACAATGAACGAGTCTACTACTATTTAACACTTCATCACATACTCAGGCATAAGATCTTTAATACTTGAGCTCTTTTCTCCCATTTTAAGATGTAGGAGATGCCTTTCCCCTTTTTAATGGTCTTAATTACACTTTTTTTTTTTGTAGTGCACTTTCAGGCTCACAAAAAAATTCAGAGGAAAGCATAGAGATTTTCTCTCTACCCTCTACCCCTCCCCCAAGTTTAGTATTCTCCTCCACTATCAATGTGCTAGAGTGGTGCTTTTATTACAATCAATACACCTGCACCAACGTATCAGTTCATAGTAGGATTCACCCTTGGTGTTGTGCCTTCTGAAAATTTTGAGAAATAGTAACATATATCCAGCGTTGCAGTATCATAGACAATAGCTTCAACTTTTCCTTTTTTCCCTACTAGCCTCTGGAAGCCACTGATGGAACTGGCATTTCAATAGTTTTGTTTTTAGTATCCAGTTGAAATCATGTTGAATGTATATATTTATGCATCTTAAAAACATAGATGTATTAAGAAAAGTCATCTACAATTTTCTAACCTAGTTAACTTTGGCTATTTTCCTATTCATTTCCTTTTTTAAAAATTTGGTTATTAATATGGTCTAAGATACTGCTCAAATTTAAGTCCATCAAATTCTTGCACTAGTAATATATGAGATGAAAACATGAGCTGAAAGGCTTTTCTATTCTGAGTATATTGTAGAAAGGGGAGGGGAGAGAAATAAAATAATAGAACATTTTTATAGGTTCAAAGGGAATAAAAAGGCAAAGGGTTTAAGCCCCTAACTTTCTCTTATCTTCATCCTACGCTATATAACAGCAATGCAATTTATAACTAGAAAACACTCAGGATATATGTGGAGCAAACCTGTTACAATCTGCCACAAAATACTGGAACTTGATTAAATTTGCTGCAGTTCTCTTCTCAAATTGCTTTCTTGCTTTCTCCAAGTCTAACTAAACCATTTGAAAGTTCAATTTATTTGTGATTGGTTTTTAATTCCTTTACTAACTGTGCTTTATTTCACTAGTTCCCTGTGTCTCCTGTACAACTGCAAAGAACACAGATATAAAAAATATCTGGGACATCAGTCCCCTTTCTATGTATCATCAACAAGACCAAAGTAATTTTTGAAAATGAAATGATAATACATGCAGCATTTAAACCACATTTAAAATATTATATTCAAACTTACTTAAAAATATGTTTCCAAAGCTAATCCTTTCCTTCCTTCATTCCTTCCTCTCTCCACCCCTTTTTATTCCTTCTCCTCCCTCTCTTCCCATTCTCCCCCCCAACTTTTTTGTGTGTTTCATTATGTGGCTCAGGCTGGCTTCAAACTTGTCCTCTTTGCCCTCTGAGTACTGAGATTGCAGGTATATGCCAACATACCTGGCTTTCGTTTCATTTCATCTCTGTCTTTCTCCTTTAGACATAGAGGAACATTATTATTTCCATCACAAAGGATGTAAGTTAAAGAGAAAATCCTTTTTAAAATGTATGGGAATTGCAGAGTACAGTGGGTCATGCCATGCCTGTAATCCTAACTATATTGTTGGCTGAAATCAGAATTGTGATTCAAAGTTAGCGTGGGCAAAAAGTTCCTTAAGACTCCATCTAAACCAACAAAAACCTACAGGGAACACAAATAGGAGTTTGAAAGACCAGGCTGGTCCAGGTAAAAAGAGACCATTTGAATTACTGCAGCATTATTTACCATAGCGAAGCTATGGAACCAATCCAGATATCCCTAATAGATAAATGGATTTAAAAACTGTAGAATTTATACACAACGGAATTCAGTGCTTCCATCAGAAAGAATCACATCACCCATTTGTAAGATAATAGAAAGACTTGAAAAATCATATTAAGTAAGCCAGACTCAAAGAAACAGATCCTATGTTTTCCCTCATTTGTAATAATTAGTATATGTTTAGGATAGTCCTAGCAGATGATCAGAATAGCACAAAAGCTATGTGCACATGACTATAATGCTAAGTGAAATGAACTCTAAAAGACGGTTTTTCTTTGTTGTTGTTTTTAATGAACTATGTGATTTCTTTTTTCTTTTGCATGTTCTTCCCTCTTGTCACTGTATTTGATTCTGGTACCCTGCGTATTTTATATATGTTTATCTGAATTTGGGAAGGCGAACAAGAAAATGGTGAGAAAAAGGACAAAGGGCAAACCAATGCAACATCCATACTCACAAGACATTATGTTGGAAATGAACTTACAACTTGGTAGGTGGGGATTAGCGAGGAGGGAAAGTGGAAGAAAAATGAGGGATGTGGTAACAAGTCCAACTAGAAATGTACTCACTACCTTACATATGTAACTGCAACCCCTCTACACATCACCTTGGCAGTAAAAATTAAAGTAAAAAAAAGAAAAAAAGTAATGAAAGCAAAAAGGGCTGGCCAGAGATATGGCTCAAGTTGTAGAACACCAGCTCATCAATTGCAAGGACCAGAGTTCAGTCTTCAGTACTGCCAAAAAGTGTAACAAGACAAAGAACCCCAAACTATGTGTGTTTGTTTTGAGAGTCACAATTTGTGGGAATCTGATTTCATGGGACTGAACACAGGACATTTTAGAGGCTCCACAGACAATACTTAACCATGGGTGCATGTGTGTAATGTGGACTTTCATCACACCCAAAACTATAGCTGTCTATTCTAAACTACAAATATCAGTAGACATCAAGGAGGAAGAAACACAGAAGAGTACTAATGTGTGAAGGCAATATTGTACATTTAGCTTTACTGATGACTCTGAGTTAAAAAAACAAAAACACTATTTTGAAGTAAAAGATGATGCTGAGAAATGAGACATACTTTCTTATATTTGCCAGTCAGAGTCAGATAATTCAGAAGTTAAGAAAATAATTCCAAGCTAGACAAGACTTTTACTTTCTAATCTTAATCCCAGCCTCTGCACAAGAGGGTAAAACTACAATACAAATGAAGTTACTTAAATAAATTTGAAACAAAGGATGAGTACTGAATATTAGTGGCCAAAAGACCAAAGATTTTTGTGTCTTAAAAAACTTCACATATGGAGAACCCCACCAGAGAGAAAACAAAGAAAATTTACATCATAGCTCATCAGTAGATTGCTCAGAGTTTTCAATACATACAAGATAAAAAGCATCTATATTAATGGCATTCTTTCTGCTTTGAGCTATTAGGGAACAAGAGGAAAACCTAATAATCAGTGATCAGAGACATATCAGTGTAACATGCTGAAATTTAATCAGGACTAATATGCTGATACTCTGTGTTGCATTTTCTCTGGACTTAAAAAGCTTGTAAACTCTAATTATTTTAGGTACTCAAATACAGACAATTTCCCAAAATAGAAATTTCTTGAAACTTTTATCAGATATTTAAATGAAACTTAAAATTTAAATTTACACAGCACAGATATACATATTCATTTTCAGGGGCATGTAAAACTTAAAAGATAATAAAAATTTCAAATATAGAAAGTACCATTTCAGATAATTTATTTTTGTGCTTGTTTTACACAAGATTTTTAAATACATGACAGTGAGTATGTTTTACAGCCATTGTTGCTTTCTTCTTTAAGTGCAGATATTGATAGAAAAAAATGGATTAGATGCAGTCTACTTTTTCCACAGTTGGATGATTTTTTAGAGAATTATAAACCATGAACGTAAAATGAGTAAATTTTGGAAGTCTATTGCAGGCAGCACCTTGGGAAGACAAAGTGACAAAGTTGAGGGGCTTTATCTATATATATATATATATATATATATATATATATACGTATACAATCACATATATACATATATAATACACACAATCAATACACACAGTTATTTGCCTGGATACTAGATATTCTTTACCTATGTCCAAGTAAGTCACATAGAAGCATATTAGGGAGGCCTAGTACTGTGTAGTTAATAGTCTAAGACAAGAAAGAAGAAGTAGTTACATAAGTTCTCTAGATTTAAGAAAACTGGCTCATTTTTGGATTTATAAGAATGCCTTTACTTCTTTTATTTTAGTCTGCTTTCATTTTCCTTTGAAAATATTAAGGCAAATCTCAAAACTCTGTCTAGCCACCAGAACTTTCTTTCATTCACTCTAAAACTCTTCCTTGTATAACTGCTTCCTATTAATTCCTATTACTTTGCTTTCAGAGAGGCAGAGAAAGAGGGAGGGAGAAAGAGATAGAGAAAAAGAAAAGACAGAGAAGAGAGGGAGACAATAAAAGGAGGGAGTGAGAGAGAGGGAGAAGAGGAAGGAGGAAGAGAGAAAAAGGGTTGTCAAGATGTTTCCTGTATGATCTAGTTCATTTACTTTTCAAACAATGGGGTTGGTAGTCCCATTTCCTTCCATTGTTATTATTTCAAATATAAGAGACTAGTCAACTTTAAATTCATTTACAATTATATAATTAGCATTTCCATCCTGTTAAATCTAACTTGAGACTTCTATGGTTTATTTCTTAAGAGAGAATCAATGAAACTGACTTATTTTATACATTAAGCCTTCCCTCCCCATAAGTTCCATCGACTTTTGTATCTTAGTACTTTAAAAAGAATAAGGAATTCCTGAAACAAGTTTCTCAAATACAGAAGTGTGGGAAGTAAAAGATCAAAGAATAATAATAAGCAGTCTAACCTAATAAGTCATATTGATCAGTAAGCCGTATATCTTCCCTATCTGAAATCTCACTAATGAGAATCAGCAGTGGTTAATCTTAAAATGCTTTGAAATTGTGATAGGCTCATATGGAAAGTAAATGAAGCAAACGACATGCCTCAAATACAGAGCAAAAATAAGTCTGCTAACTTATTCAGTTTACTAACTAATAATACATTTTTGTTCTTAGGAACACCAGAAAGATTTGAATGGCTGAAATATTTAACTATTGAACAGAAAAGAGGTAGAGGAGATTTTTATCTCCATATACTACTACTCCTAATTAGTTAAAGCGTTTGACTACATTAGCCCATCAACATATAATGGAGCATTAGCTAAAGCTCCTTTAAGACAGTTGTGACAGATAAGAACTACTAGCTAAAGATGAGATCTTATGATCTCCTAATAGTCAACTACAAAGCCTTTTGGGTAAATTATTTTTATCACTTTATAGCTCTTGAAAGACCACAGCCCACTCAGGCTAGTCCTCTTTCCTACTGAGTATGATGTAATATATGTCAATTGTTTAAGATTGTATGATTTATAGCAATTTAGAAATTCAAGGAAATACAAAATACAAATACAGCTTACCATAACTTCCAATCACATTGGCACATATAACAGCCCCAAAGAAGTTTGGATAATACTTCTGGATTCTTGAAATCACTTTTTGGCACGCTACAGTTGGCTCCTCTCCATTTCTCATGTATTCTACAGCTTGGTAACTGAATTAAACAAAAGTAAAGCCTTTAGTGTCAGAGAATAAATGCTACAAAGTGCGTTACATGACATTAGAAATTGAAAGGCTCAAAACTGTTCCATTTGCCCCAAAGATATACATGAATAGAAGACAGTAACATCTCCTCAAGTCATAAATCAAGGCATGTAAACTTTGCTACAATGTCATGTGTTCAACTAATCCACCATTAACTTCAGATAAAGACTATCATTTTTGTCTTTGGCTGAACAGATATTACTAAGTAATAATAGCTGGTAGTTACAAGGGATTAAAAACTACATTTGTATGAGAAATGGAGATACAATACATGGAGGAAAATACTTTACAGGATCAAAGATGCAGTTATAGGAATTAATCATATATATTTATCAATTACTCAGTAGCTTTATATGAATTATTTGAATAGATCATAAATATTTTTGTCTGTGAAGGTAAACTGTCTTCCACAGGATTACGATTATTAATTGAAGTTTGCATACACAATTTCTAAAAAGTACTTATGCGTAACAGTTCAAATTATATGATTATTGACTTTTTTGTCCTAAAGGAAAATGTCTCTTCTTGCTATCTCTAAAGTCCAGGAAGGTGAGAAGTCACACCTTGGTAGAAAACGTAGCAATATGTCACCGTCCCCGGTGGCAGCAGCTGCTCCTGCACTATCATCAGCGTAGGCCCCGGCTCCAGGAACTGGAGAATCACCTACACGACTGTAAAGAATTTAGGATAGAAAAATTTAGGATAGAAAGCTCAAGTTTAAACTGATAAATCATGTTAACAGTTATTTCAAAATAGGGGATTTCCACATAGCCACTTCACCAAAACACAAAGAACAAATCTTTTCCAAACCTAAATTATGTAAGAATTTGTTTCTTAGATGTGCAGTGTCACAGAATGGAATATATAGAACTAGATTAAAATGGTATTGGCCAGATGCTAGGAAGTAGCCAGATGCTAGAGGTATTTAATGAGGTACTTAGGGAGATATTGGTCAAAAGACACAAAATTTCAGTTAGACAGGAGAAGCATATTCAAGATATTTATTACAAATATGACAATTAAGAATATATTGTATATTTAAAACTGTTAACACAGTAGACTTTACTTGTTCTGACCACAAAAGAACTAGAATTTGAAGTAATCAGTAAGCTAAACAGGTAGGTTGATTTCAAACATATGTATCTGCATTTCCTACAGACAGAAAAATATCATAACATATCCCATAAGTAGTTACATGCCAATTTAAAGAAATTAATTAAAAATAAAAAGAAATGTTATCATCTTGTTATATGTCAAGATTTATAGTTACTACTCTACTATCACCATTCTTTTTCATCTAATGTCTGGATGAAATTATAATCTATTTCTGCTATAATCTATTTCTGCTTCCTATGTAATGTTTCTTCTTGTAATAAGCCTATTTGACATTTTTTTATTACTTCACAATAAAATCAAGAGCTCCTCAGGATGACCTAAAAACCTCTTGACTTCTGCTTCAACTTCTTGAAGCTTTATCTTTTATAATGTATACTATGTGTACCTCCTGTACACACCCACACAGTTTCTTTTCCAGCCAGCAGAAGTCTGGAATCTGAAATGTGCATTACTTGTATCTGTTAGTGCTGTTGCCTGTATGTTTCCCTTCTCTTTCAGTGTACTCATGTCTCACATCTTAGTACTACTTCCCTGGAGGTTGTTAACAACTCAATACCTTGAACTACAAAGCACTGGCTGGTACTCCTCCTTTGGCTCTTAGCGGGAACTAAAATATTTTCTTCTGTGTTGATGTTTCTCAGCTAGAGGTGTGCTTTGTATTTTGCATTCTGCATAGCACCTCACACACATCACTTGGTTTTCAATATATATTTGAGAGAGCTGTTCTAATGGAAACACTAACCCATGTATTTTGAATTTTATACCATTTGTAGATGTACCAGCAGCAGTCTGTCCCAATTTATGAATTACAACCATGCCTAGGAGTAAACAGAAAAAAAAAGGTAAATGCCTAATGTTTACTGCAAATATAACCAGATAACTGAGCATAGTGATTGTTTCAGTGTAGATGTTTATGTGTCCAAAAGTTTGTATACACAAAACAATGAATGGATTTAGGAGATGGACCTTTAGGAAGTGATGCCTGATGGGAAAACCCATGAGTGGGCTTAGTACCTCTATAATAGAGACCAAAGACAGCTAGCCACCCTCTTCTACTAGAGGAGACCTGGCAAGAAGGTGTCATCTGTGTGCCAGAAAGTGGGCTTTCATACCAATCTGTCAGTGCTTACATAGCAAGACTTCTCAGCTTCCACAATTGTGAGGGATAAATTTCTGTTGTTTGTAAGTCTGTGATACTGTGTTTTAAAAGCCTGAATTGACTAAAGAAATATCTAAAGACACTGTCTCGTTAATTTAAGGTAGAAGAAAAGAGGAGATTTGAGAATGCTGAAATCTATACCAGTGGTATCAATCTCTGAATTTTAATGACTTAGCTGCACAATGTCAGTTGATAGACATCCCATATCTTCATTCTTCATATTGGTCAGTTATAATCACCAACATAAACTAATATAGACTGTCAATATTACAGTTTGGAACAAAAACTTATTGAAAACTAATATGGCAAACAAGCTAGAAATATCAAAGCACTAAATATTATATATTTAAAAATCTTCATGTATTGGATTCTGGGTTTTTTTGTATGAATAATTTATCAAACTGTACATACATATTAAGACAACTGTTATATATATTTATATGTATGCATATGCATGTATGTGTACATTTGTACATATATAAATACATATACAGATATAATTAATGTATGTATGAAATCTATAAATTTTATGTATATTATGACTATGTTTGTGTATATGTGAAAAAAGAGGGAAAGAGTGAGGAAGACAGAGAGAGAAAATCTGGTAGTTAAAATAATTAAAATCAATTCTGGCACTTGAGTAATGATAAAGATAACTAGATGTTAATCCTGTAAAATCAATAAAAGGCAAGAATTACCAATAGTATCATGACCATGAAGATCTCTTGTTACTTTATGGGTGGGCTCAGTCAGCATTGAAATACCAGGTGGTTTGTAAGGTCCACAGTGTTTTGAAGGATCTGGAACAACATTCTGTAAATAAGATTCAAGTGTTGTTCACAAAAACATGTGCTTAAAAATTGGCAAATATTTATTAATCACTATATAAAAGTAAGATAACCCAAAGAGATCTAATATCTCAAAGCTTCTAGATAAGTTAATTAAAAATGTGAAAACTGATGAATATATATATTCTTACCTCCCCCTTAAAAAATAAAAGAAAATCTAATATGTATACATACTCTCCAGTGATTTGGTTGGCACTTCCGAGCAAGCCAATTGGAATGAAGAGCTTGAGAAGCACTGGTAGATAAGTCCTCATTGATAAATCCCATACTTTCAGCAAAAATGGTGGCTTGAGATTAAAAAGAAAGGCCGGTCTTTTAAACAAAACATGTGTAATACAGGTGTTTTAGGTCAGCTGCTTCTTAAATGGGATACCCATAGACTTACAGAATACATGAAGACTTCCAAACACATTTTTGGACACAAAAAGTTTTAGGAGAATAGATTTCGGGATTTTCAATGTCCACATGTCCTTCCTACAAGTGAATGGCTGAGAAAGCTGGGCTGTACTATGGCTGTCTCTATGATTACTTTACCTTATCGTCTCCATCCTTACACTTTACTAAGAAAAAGTATACTTTGCACCAATCCAGAATCCTGCTGATCAAACTATGATGTAAGGCCCAGGGCACAGAATGTTTGAGACACTGAATGAAGGGATAGCTGGATTCAATGAATGAGTAATATCTTTTAGCTTGGTGCTTTGCAATTATATACTTTCAACAAATGGAAAGAAGCCCACTAGAGCTGCTAGATAAATAAATCATTAAAATGATTTTTGATTATAGTCTACTATATGATTTTTGGCAGATAGCTTGGAAATAAGTGACACTGCTATAGTAAACTTCTTTCTGTCCTGTTTTGTTAATGTTAATAATGCTCTCTGGGTCTTATACTTACAAAAATGTAATACAGACAGAAAATGTGGAATCCCGATTCAGTGGCAGTATTACTCATCTACAGATAATAGAGTATTTTTAAAAATTCACTCTAAAAGACAGAGAAGGACTTAGAAGTAACCTATACAGGCATATATATTACCTATATTAAGTAAAACAGAATTTGAGCTTAGGTCTGCTTTTCTCCTTTTTTTTTTTTTAAATAGTAAGCCCTATTTTTCAGTGAACACTATGAACAAAAGAAGAAAGCATTAATTTTAGCTAAAAAATACCTGACTCTCCCACTAACAGTGTGTGTGTTGTATGTTCCAGTACTTTCCGTGCCACACCAATTGCATTTTTAATCCGTCTAAGATCTCCTACTGCGCCAACATTCATAACAGTGCTGAAAGAAAAAAAAAAGCAGTAAGATTTACTAAGATATTTTCAGAGGATCATTTTGGATAAAAAAATTATTACATGCTTCTTAACAATAATGTTTTGTAGGATAAACTTTTGTAGGATAAACACACCATGTACGTAACGAAATTTAAAAAAAAAAAAAAAAAAGTAAAAAATGACCACATATTACAACAGCACTAAGGTGGCTCAGTTTCTTCTAGCTCATTCTAAATAGAAAGCCTTATAGTTCCAGGTCAAGGAAATTTATAGCATTTGTACCTGGTAGGAAACTGACTGTTTATAGGGTCAGAGGCACATTTTTAAAGGAGTTCTCCCCATTCTGAGGAGACTACCACTTTCCTGAGCTATTTCCACTTTTAGGGTATTTACTTTTAAGATAAAACCCCTTTTGTCTGAAAGAAGGTTAACTACAATCAGCTAGGAGTCTTGACCTGTGACAAAACTCACACGTTGTTTCACCTTACTTTTAGAAGGCTACAACTACAAATGGATCAACATGAACTGCAGACAAAGGTATGAAGGGCACTCTTACCCATCCATGATCAAGGCATCCAGTGTAGTCTCCCCAAGTTCATCAGGACTTCCTCCAAAGCCCACAGAGCCATCGCACTGCTCTCTCTCACACACAGCACAGCCGCTCTCAACTGCATCCAGGGCAGAACCTCCAGACAGTAATGTCTGCCATGCTGTCAAACCCAACAATTCCTGTTTAACATTTTTTTTTTTCAATATCAAAATGCAACAGTCCAAGAAAATTCTCAGACTCCTATATTTTTTCATATTCTTATTTGCAAATTGAAGTTATAACAGATTAATCAAATGGCACAAAAGTGCTACAAAGGAATTAGGGATAGAGACTAAATTATACCACTAGTTACTATGAAAAACTCAAAAGGCTGGTAACTGGTACAAAGTGAGTGCTTTTTCACTTTCATTGATTTCTTCTATATAAGAAATGAAGCCAGTATCCTCTTTTGCTTTACAAAGTTAAACTGAAAATAATCAAAGGCAGTTAAATTGAAGCCTCTATTAAATCACAGTCATAAACATCTGCACCATCATTATTACTATCATGTTTTCTCTGACACGTTTTTTGCTATGTAAGTAGCCTAGACTAGCTTGCAACTCACTGCGTAGCCCAGGCTTGCCACTGGCCTGGAGCTCATCTTCCTCCTGGGGTTACAGGCATGCACCACTCATTAGATTATCAAAATATGTATAATTAATACTTACAGCCAGGTAACACCTATCACACCAAGTTTCAGTGAAACTGTAAACAGCAAGTAAACAACTGCAATGCAGGCTTCATATGGACTCGAGCAATTTTCATAACATCTTTTGAGTTAGTACTGTGCAATTACAATCTTCATCTTAAAAAAAGAGGAAACAGAGCCCCCCAGGTTAAGTACTAGGGTGGCCTTTCTTGCAGCACTATGCTGTTCTGTGGTCCCCTCCATACTGAGTGGGGAAGGTCTTCTTCGTGGACGATTTCTTCAAAGGCAGGTGCCAGTTAGCATTAATTATCAATATGGTTACCTACAAGCCTACAAATAGATTCTTAGATGTTTCCAGCTTCAAAACAGGCAACTTCCAAGGCACTCCCCGGGTTCCTGAGCTTTTTTCTAGTCTCATTATTGCTTGGACTTTCTCACAATTTGATTCCTCACTTTCGCTGTTATGTATCATATAAGCATTATATGCCTATCACATATAAATTCTGGAGTAAATTCTATGCTCAGAGTCCATATCTTATCAGCAGACTCAGACGTGGGTGGAAGGGTCTGAAAATTGTCCCGTACTAGTAGTATTAAAGAAACAGGCAGAATACTATGGTAAAACGCAGGAACGGGACAATATCAAAGCACTGAAAATGGTATGAGTTAAACTCAGATTGGTCAAATGAGAGCAGTAAATCCGGAAATACTTCCTAGAAGAGGTGATACTTTAATGATCGGCAAAACTCCCTGACTGCCAACGAGAATTACTTAGGGAGCTTTAAAACAATCACACCGACAGACAACGAACAGACGCCAAACACCCGGGTCCCAGCAGTTAAATACGACAGATCCCAGGAGACAGAGGTTAAAGGGTAGACAGAAGGCATCTTGAGAAGTGAGGGGGAAATCACCCAAGACAGCAACGTAGACCCCATTATTGGGAGTACCCAGAGAGGGGCCCTGGGAGTGGAGGTCGGCGATGGCAGGTGGCGTGGGCAAACACACGGGGTGAGAGGTTAAAGTTCAACAGTGTGTGTGTGGGGGGGGTGGGGGTGGAGGAGGGGGACAGGGTGAAGATCACTGGCAGAGGGCGCCAGCGTGCAGGCGGGGCTGGAAGCTGGGCCTGCCGGGAGCCTGGAGCTCACCCCCGGCCCCCACGTCTTCTCTGGGCCCGGCGGCCTAGCAGGCGCTCCCGGACCTGCGCGCTTCCGCAGCGCCGCCACCCAGCCCCGGGGCCGCCGCTCCGCACCTGCTACGGTTGCATTCTCAAAAGGCCAAGTGTTGAGGACCAGAGGGAGAGAGCTGGAGCCGCGCACCAGGGCCGGGCCGAGCAGCAGCGGCACGAGAAGCAGCGGCAAATTCGACTTGCGCGCCATCGCTGCCAGCGCGACCAAGGTCGCAGGCTGTGAGGTCAGGCGCCCACCCGCCTGCCGGAGCCCGGGGCCCGCGGACCACGTGACTCTCAGGCCACGCCCTCTCCAGCCACGCCCTCTCCAGCCCCACCCACTTCCTTAGCCAGAAATGGGGCGGGGAGGCGGGCTCCCTCAAGTCTCGCGAGACGTGGCCTTCTCCTGGCGCTTGGACGGGCCGTTGCTCTGCTTGGCCTGGAGTTCTCTCCTGGCTGTGGGTGGTTTTGCTTAAATGCCGCGCAGATTTTGTTTTGGTTTCACTTTAGTTTTTTCAAATAGTCAACCAGGTTGCTGCTTTCCCTGATTTTAAAGGTAGATTAAGCTTCCCCCTGGAACATAAGTGTGAAGCTATGTCATTATTGTAGACTCTTCACACTGGAATGGAAGTGTGTGGATTATCAGGGCCTCAGGAACCTCATGCAATGGCTCGGGATGGTTATTCAGATATTACACATGTGTCCCCAGAAGATGGGGTTGTGAAGTGTGCCAAGCCTAGAGGAAGAAGGAGAAGGGGAAGGGGAAGAAAATAAGCACCCTAAAATTGCTCAGAGCTCTATAATGTCTTTGGGGAGTGGAGGTGAATTGCACCTTGCGAAGACCAGATCCATGTTGGATGTGCTCTCCTCACAGTTCCTGTGCTTTCTCACCTCAGCTTTTTGTAGGACGTCCTCTGAACCGAAATCCCTGAGCTGGAAGAAAGAAAGAGCATCTGGGAAAATAGAAATGCACCCTCTTCCATAGCCCACTGAAGTGTTCCTCACATGTAGGCAAGAAAGACTATCTCAATTCTTCTTCTTTTAATTTTCTTCTTCCTCCTCTTCCTCCTTTTTCTGCCTGGCACCATTAAATAATGAATAAATGCTCGAATAAAAGGAGAGATGGCGACATTACATGCAGGATAGAGGATGCACGTTTTGATGATTCAGTCAAACATGGACCAGTAAATCCCTTGGGGACTGGAATGTTTGCCCATGTAGCTGAAGGAAGACAAATAATTTTAAAGATCATCTATAAATCTATTCAGACTTGTAAAATAGGAACTAGATGGGAGTTGTGAGGCTTACACAAAAATCTTCAAGGTTCTTATTGCTAGGAAACTGAATACATAATTTAAACACCAATTATTATCCCAAGGCAGGCAATGCTGTTAAAGAATTACATGTAATTAAAAGGAATTGACACAAGTTCCTTCTAAGGGAGTTTGGAGGTGGAATGCAGTCTTTGTATATAGCTTAATGAATATACAACTAATACCAAGTGAAATGGGAAAGGTACTTGGAACCATGCAAGAAAGGAAAGGAAGTGTACATAGTCCTTTGAATTAATTTTTCTTAACAATTGAGTTTAGTATTGTACAGTGTAAGTAGCCTTTAGCAAAAATTGTAAAACACAACAAATGGAAAACTGGTCTCAGTTTTCTGTTTGTTTTTTTTTTTTTACTTTTGTTTTTGTTCATTTTGTGCTAGTTATGTGGCTTGAACTCAGGGCCTAGGCACTGTGCCTGAGCTTTTCTGCTCCGGGCTGGCACTCTACCATTTTGAACCACAGCTGAACTTCCAGCTTTTTGGAATTTAATTGGATATAAGAGTCTCATAGACTTTCCTTCCCAGTCTGGCTTTGAATTGTGGTGCTCAAATGTCAGTCTGTTGAGTAGTTAGGACTGAGCCTTTGGTGCCCAGGTTAAAAAAATGTAAACTCTTACCTCCTATTATGCACATTATTTTCTCCAATATTCTTTCTTCTTACTTGAAATCAAAATACTAGCAGGGAAGTTTACCTCATCTGTGGGTTGGAAAAGAACAGCTAAATAATTTTATAGAGTGAATGTTTGAGAGAAAGTCCTTTGTGTGTGTGTGTGTGTGTGTGTGTGTGTGTGTGTGTGTGTGTGTGTGTGAAAATACCGTACAGAGGGATTACAATTACATGGGCAAGGTAATGAGCACATTTCTTATCGAGCATTGTTGCCTCCTCCTTTGTTTCCGTTTCCCATCCCTTTCCATCTCTGCCCCCCCCCCCCCCGAAAGTCTTAATATGGCAATTTTCTTATTGATTGTTGCATTTAATTAAAATGATCAACAAGCAGGAATCTAGCCTGCTTGTGGGCTTTTAGAAGCCATTAAACCACTTGGTGGATTCAGTGTGATTAAACATAGTCTTATCTCTATAGCTAGGTCTCAATCAAATTAGAGTACTTTGGTACCTTCTAGAATACTACTTATATTTTAACTAATACTTGGAAAATAGTTTCAAATTCAGACTGGGAAGTCATAGTATGTTACTCTCAGATTTTCATTTACGTATCAAAGTAAATGAATTCTTTTGTTTAAAGTACATGTAAAATGAAAAGAGTTATCTTTTAGCCAAAAGATTAGTATACTGGGCTGGGAAGGTAGCTCAGTGGTAGAATGCTTGCCTTGCATGCATAAGGCCCTGGATTCAATTCCTCAGCACCACATAAGCAGAAAAAGCTGGAAGTGGCACTGTGGTATAAGTGGTAGAGCGCTAGCCTTGAGCTGAAGAGCTGAGGGACAGCGCTCAGGCCCAGAGTTCAGACCTGGCAAAAAAACAAAGAAAAGAAAAGAAAAGATTAGTATACTTTATCATGTAACTGTAACCTCTGTGTACACTATTTTTACAATAAAAAACATATTAAAAATATTAGTATACTTTAAAAAGATCTAAGGTTTTCTAACATCATCTTTAATTTTTATACAAATAATTTTATAGCAAGAAGCACTACTACTAAATAAAACTAATATAACAATTTGCATATAATTTTTAAATTTATTATAGAGTTGTGTTTTTTAAAATTCGTATTCTACACAAAATGACTTATAAATAATAAGATGATTCTCAAGGCCTGATTTTAAAACTTAGAGCACTGTATCCTATCATCTGTGTTTAATATGTGTAATCTTCTTCGCTAGCCTCTCTCACCTCACCTATAAAATGGAGATATTGATTTTTTTTTCCTATTTTATGAAGTGTTTTGAAGATGTAGAAGATATTAAGCACTATTAGAGTACTAGTGTTGTTTGTAATGTCTATTTACAAATATTCATCAGTGGGTATCAGAGAGGAAACATTCTGCACATAGCAGCAAGAATATCAATTTGTGATTTTACAAAAAAATGTCCATAGGAATAATGAAGAATTGAGAAATAACTAAGATTCATCTTAAAGTCAGTATTAAGGATTTTATTTGACTCTCTTACATGAGAGTTAAAAAATGGTTCCTATCTCCTTTGAGCTGTCTAAAAATTTTAGTTTAAATGTTTATAGAGATGGGACATGACAGGGTGGTGAGATTTCTAGATATCTTAATAACAGTATCCTCAAGTTTTACCCAGGAGAAACTCTCAAATGGAATCTTAAAAGATGTTACAATCTCAGCCCTGTGTGTGTGTGTGTGTGTGTGTGTGTGTGTGTGTGTGTGTGCATGTGTGTGTGTGTGTGTGTGTGTGTGTGTGTGTGTGTGTGTGTGTTGGAGTTGAGGGAGAGTAGTTTCATACAGCTGCAGGCTCCCCTCCATTTCCTCTAAACTTCATGGCTTTTAATTTATCAGTCTCAGAAGGATGAAGAGTTGAGTCTCTCCTGATAGCATTTGAAGCTGTGGTTCCACAGAGGATTTAATGCTGTAGTTGCAGGGAGTCTAGGTATTTCAAATCTGAGGCTTAAAAATCTAAGCCATCGCCTCTGGCTTTTGCACTGATGCTGTGAAATCCATTTGAGAAACATGACCATGTTTTGCTACTTGTTCAAAGCTGTAAGCGTGACTTGGCATTGAAATAATAATTTCCTCTTTGAAACTCCCCACTGAACGATTACGTGGTTATCTAAATACAGGTTCTTTATTTGATTGGTATTGGCTCTTGTCATTTTCACAAACCATAGGTAATAAGTTTTGTTGATGTTAGAGCATTTTAATGTGGTTTTTCCAATTTAAATCCATTTTTTACATTAATCTAGGAACACTTGATGTTACTACCTGAAGGTACACTCTGGATATAATTAGACTCATAGAGGAGTGTCATCTCATTATTCTCTAAGTGAGAAAAGGGAGGATTTTTTCCTTTTTGTGATAGTTTTTCTTGGTTGTACCCCCATCTCCTGAAACCATTTGTATAACCAGTAGCAGATCCCAATCACAAACTTATTTTTTAACTTTTTAAATTTTTCAAAGTCATCTTAGTGGCATATGAAGACCATGATTGTTTAGTAGAATTTTGGCCTTTTAATTGATTTTTTTTCCTTCAAACTAAGTTATGTGCAGCATATTTCCAAATTGTAGTGAGCTAGGAAGGTGGTTCAGTGGTAGAGTGCTTGCCTCATATTCATGAGGCCCTGGGTTCGATTCCTCAGCACCACATAAACAGAAAAAGCCTGAAGTGGCGCTGTGGCTCAAGTGGTAGAGTGCTTGCCTTGAGCAAAAGCAGCTCGAGGATAGCGCCCAGGCACTGAGTTCAAGCACTAGAACTGGCAAAATTTAAAATAAAAAAATGGAAAATTTGTAATTGTATTGTTAGGCCCTTGCTATCTTAATGTTGACATGTGAAGGATAGAGAAGATCATCTTACACAGAGGACCTTGCTTTTTATGACACTTGTTTTCAATATTATGGTGATTTTTATAAAGGAGAACCATATAGTAAAGGCCTGGAAAAACAGAACAAACCTCGCACTGTCTTTCTTCCTACAATTTTAAAAATCACTTTGACGTTGTTAACCAGTGCCCCTGGTGATTTTAATTAAAAAAAAATTCAACAATATGAGCAGATTCCCAAAGTAACAATGACATATAGTATTTTGTTCATTGAAAAATCACATCAATTGCTTGATTTAAATAGAAAAATGTTCTAATACTAACCACATGGATTTTGTGAATAACTGAATAGTTTATTTCCCAGTGGTTTATATAAAGATTTGAAAGTAAAGATTATTTTAAATGTAATTTATTAGTGTTTTTCTTTTGTAGAAATAACATATATGGTGTATATATATATATATATATATATATATATATATATATACACACACACAAACTTAC